GTGAACCGGTAACCAGTGCAGTGAGGCCAAAACTGGTGTAATGTGCTTTTTTTTGCCTGTACTGGTTAAAAATTGGGCTGCTGCATTCTGGACCAGTTGTAGTCATGCTATGGAGGTTTGACTGATACCAAACAGGAGTGAATTGCAGTAATCAAGCCTAGATGTAATGAATGCATGTATTACTGTCTCCAGGTTATTTTTGGACAATATGGGCTTCAGTTTAGACAGCCGCCTCAGTTGGAAGAAACATGATTTAAAAATCATGTAAACATGATTGTTAAGTTTCAGGGAAGGGTCCATTATCACTCCCAGATTAGTGACTCTTTGTTTTTCTGACAGGGTTAGAGCGGAGAGGTCGGTACAGTGGTTTGTGAACGTGTCATTGGGAGGGAACAACATGACTTCAGACTTCTTTTCATTGAAACTTAAGAAGTTTAAAGCCATCCAGTCCCTGATAAAACTAACTATATGATAGTAAGAGAAGGAGAACTGTCGATGTTCCATTTAAAGTCAAGGGTGTTGAGATATGTAGAGTTAGTGAGGTGAAGTTTTTGGGTGTTATCATTGATGAAAAACTGACATGAAAACATCACATAAATTATGTAAGAATAAAAATAGCTAAATTGATTGCAGTACTTTACAAAGTAAGGGAGTTATTAAATGATAAAGCTCTGTATATGTTGTATAATGCAATAATTGTTCCACACTTAATCTATTGTATTGATGTTTGGGGGAAAGTGTTGAAACAATTACAAATCCTATTATTGTTTTACAGAAAATAGCTGTAAGAATTATTAGTAGGAAGCATTTCTGTCACCCACCAAGTACATTATTTTATCAAATGAAGTTATTGAAGTTCCATGATTTGGTAGATTATAATATTTTATCAGTTATGTATAGGGCTCAAAATAACAGTGTCTTTAAATATCCAAATAAATTTTGTTAAAAGAGAAAGTTGTTATAATCTTAAGAGGATAGAGAGATTTGTGAAACTGAAATTTAGAACTAGTTTGAAGGGATGTTCTACCTCAATCCAAGGAATTAGATTATGGAATAATCTGGAGAGTGATGTTAAAAATGCCAGATCATTGTGTATGTTTAAGAGAATGATCAAAGTTGATTTGTTAAAAAAAAAAAAAAAATGAAATAGCTTAATGTGTATTTGTATGAATTGTTGCTCAAGAAGGAGTTATTTATTTTGTTTTGTTATTTGAAGATTAATATTGTTTGAATTAATTGTTTGGGAAAAAGGGGCAGATATAATAAGATTTTTTTCTTCTTTCTGCTGCCTTTCATTTTATTTGTGATTGTATTTCTTATTGTATATAAAATTGTTTTGTTTTGTTTTAAAAATTAATAAATTTATAAATAAATACATTTTAAAAATCAAAATACCCCAATGCCTTTTTAACCAAAATAAAATTTATTTGGCTTAACACAACTCATAAATTCAACAGTTCAACATGTTCTGATTATGAATAAAACCCTCTGTAATTCTTTTTTTTTTTTTTTTCATTTACCCTTTATTTATACAGGTAGTCTCATTGAGCCACGATAACTAATTTTCAAGAGAGACCTGTTTAGGGAGCAGATGGGTGTTAAGGACCTTTCTCATGGGCCCAGAGTGGGGCGAATGAGGGTGGGGGCAGTTGTGGGTGCTTCACCTACCCCACCCACATTTTTTGATGTTGTCGGTACCGGGGCTTGAACCAGCAATCTTCCGATCACAGGCCCACCTTCTCTAACCTCTGCGCCACCACTCCCCATTCAGTTCAAACAAGCTATTTTAGGACTTTTTTCTGCCTTGTAATTTTCTAACAATGACTATTATTGCCATTTACTACTATACTGCATGTTTTATATTTTTTATATATTTCTGAAGTCTTCATCTAATCTTGCTACTTGTTTTGTTTTTTACGACGTGTGCTGTTGCTGCCTGTTCTTGGCCAGGGCACCCTTGTGAAAGAGGTCTTGACCTCAGTGGGTTTTTCTCTGGTTAAATAAAGGTTTAATAAAAAAATATTGAAAATTATCAGAATCAGAATAAGCTTTATTATCATTGTACCGAAATACAGTGAGATTCTGTTTGTACAGTCGTCCAAAAGATGGGTGGAGTGCATGCTGCTGCTAAAAAGCGCAGCCCCATATTCTTTATCAGGATACTTTACCATGAGGATAGATAATGGTATTACCAAAAAAAAAAAAAAAAAAAAAGATCACCACATTTTGTCCTATCAGGACACAATTTGAGACATTAAAAAAAACCTCTACCAGCAAGCACATTTACAGACACACGACATACGCATTTGACGTCAAGATGTTGAGATTTGTCCATGGGCATTTTCAAATAGGCCACAGCTCTGATTATGTTGTTTCAGCTGGCAGTTCAATAGACAAAGCTTTTGTCCCCTGTTACCCATGTCCCAGGAGAAATTTGATAAGTCGCTTTGTATCCAAGGCCAAACGGGGGAGTCAGATTCAGATAAGCCACAATTGTTGATTTTTCTTCAGGCAGACAGTTTTTCCTTGTCAGCCTTGAGTCCTGCTGGAATTTTCCGGTCCAAAATGGCCAAATTTATGGGTATCCACTCCACAGATCCATGTTAAGAGCCTTTTTCAAGGTCAATCTCAACATGTTGCAGAGTCCTAGAAGCCAAAGGTAGCCTGTGATTCTCACAAA